TTGGACACCTGAAGATTTGAACATTTTCTTTTTATGACAAAAGCAATTTCAATAATCCAGCAAGTAGACCATAGAGTTATTTCAATTTTTAAAGCCTATTATCTTAGATGGACTTTTGGACAGGCTATTGAGGCTACAGTGGGAGATCATGCAATTTCTTTAGCTGAATTTTGGAGGAAATATGACATAGAACATGCAACTGAAAACATTCAAGCATCATGGGAGAAAGTGACAGCAAGTAATATGTGTGTGGTGTGGCAGAAATTTTTGCATTTACTGTGCAAATAACTTTGCAGTATTTGAATCAAAAGGAATTGGAATCATAGAGGAAATAGTTGACCGTGGGAAAGTTGACACTGACACTATTGGAGACTCACTATGCAGCCGGAGGAGCTTAGTGAAGGCGAACTTATCGACGAAGAAAGGGGTGGTGATGAAAAGGAGGAAGATGTCCTAGAGGAAGTGACACCAGCAAAACTACTTCACATTAAAACAAGTCTCAGACATATTTCATGACATTGAAAACACAAAGGATAAAATATTTGAAGATGATCCACACTTAGAAAGGGTCTGAAAATTTGCCTCAGTATAGAAAAGATGCTCCCTCGTATTGTTTTATATCTTGGGAGGAAGTCAAGCACTGTTCACACCATTCTTTTTTTTTGTTTTTTGCGGTATACGGGCCTCTCACTGCTGTGGCCCCTCCCACTGCGGAGCACAGGCTCCGGACGCGCAGGCTCAGCAGCCATGGCTCACGGGCCCAGCCGCTCCGTGGCATGTGGGATCTTCCCGGACCAGGGCACGAGCCCGCATCCCCTGCATCGGCAGGTGGACTCTCAACCACTGCGCCACCAGGGAAGCACCAGGACAACATCTTTTGATCTTTGTATACCTGGCATGTAAACATTATTTGATAAATACATGTTGAGTGAATGAAAAAAAAAAGAATAAATGAAGTAAGAAACCATAAAAGGAATTAACATTCAGTGCTTGAAAGTAATGAGAAAAGATTAAGACTGACTGAAGACTAAGTAGCAGCAACCTTACTGATTCCCAGTTCCAGGTACAATGGGCAGATCCTCAAGCATCTCATTTGATGTGAATGCCAGCCATTTTTGAGATGTTTGGAAATATTTAATATGGTGCAGAGGATTATGGGTACTTACTAAGAAACTTCTGGTGATGGTCATTACATCAGAACACACCTGTCTAAGGCTTTGAGGAATAAAGAATGAAGGTGTCATATCCTGCTGCTTTCTTACAGCAGTTCTAGGTATGGACGCTATTGCATCAGCTCCCACCGAGAGAGACAAACAGCGGCCCCACCCTGGCCCCCAATGCGCGAGAGCCACTAGCAGCTCCCAGTCAAATGCAGGAGCTCTTGAGCTGAGGTGGGGTCTGCAGATGGGTTAAGAGTCCACAGCTCCGTCAAGTGTCGGGCTGACTGCCACTTTTTATATTAATAAGTCTATAAACTCTTCGGTCTTAGGGATAAGGGGGGAAAAGGGAGAAAAATGTTCATCTGTGTTTGGGAATGTTTGTGCCAGGAGCTGCCTGCATTTTCACAGTGAGCGCTGAGCCTCCTGGCACAAAGTTTAAAGACCTACAGAGCTGCGTTTGGAGGAGGGAGAGGCGGGTAGGAGCATCTACACTTGGAAACCCTTTAATCATATAAGGAAAACCACTGGTCCCAGGATCTTCTTCGGCACCATTCACTCACAGGAAGTGGGCAGGACCCTCCATGCTGGTGCCTCGCGTCCAGCCTTTGGAGAGGGGTTGGGTCTCGGGGGAGTGGGAATGGATCACTTACCTCCATGGGTCTGAGTTCCCCTTAGAATGGATGTGCCTGTCTGGGCCAGCCTAGACCAGCCAGGATGCTGGGTGGGAACAGGAACCAAAGCCGTCTCTGGAGGCCTCGTCTCAAAGACGCTTCCCTGAAGAACGCCATAATTAAAGGCTTTGAAGCTCACTTGAGTCTACGGGCACCACAACCAATTGGTATGAAAAGAAAATATGAAAGCTAATGCTACATCCTACCTAATGGTGAGGAGAGAAGACCCATTATGAAAAAAGCTAAGGGGCCCAGAGAACCACAGGAAATATGGTAGAACTGTGTGTTAACTGCACACATAGATCCTACCTCTCCTCAATGAGGCCTTACGGGTGTTAAAAAAAAATAAGTGTAAGAGGTAGAGAATTTAGTTTAGCAGAAATTCTCTGGGAGAATATTCTTTCTGTCTCTCTGACACGCACACACACACAAACACACACCCCCACCCCCACCCCACAATCCAGTCATACTACAGCTCTACAGTCTAAAGGAGGCCATAATATTTTACCCATGAGGAAAAGAGCGAAGGAGGGTGAGAGAGCCTGCACCACCCTTTGGGTCTAGAGTGTTGAACATGAGTGTTGAAAAGAAGAAGGAAATTTTATCAAATGATATCGTGGGGTTCTGCGATATACAAGTAAAGGTTATATAAGTACTTAAAAAAATATTTTCAGTTGCTTCATGCTTCTCTGAATGTAGCACGTTTTGAAAACTGAATCGCGTGAGGCCCCTGCTTAGCTTCGGGTTTCACGCATTCCTTCTAGAATAGTTGAAACAGTTCCAGTTAAAAGTAGAGACTCCTGCACACACACAACCCCACTTGGTACCTTCCCTTATTATTCCCGTATCTGATATCTGTAGCCCTTCTGACGCTCTCCCAGCGATTCACTCAGAGGCTCCGTTTGGTCTACTGACTGCAGTAACGCTTTGCATACACCCTTCTAATTTTCACCCTTCCTGTGAGCTTGTACGCATCAGCACCAGGTGAGATGCCCCCCCGCCCTTGGTAGAGCGCTAGAGAGCATCTACAGAGAAAGACCCTGAAGGACACATTTCCCACGACTATTATCATGATGATCTTGCCTCGTGAAAAGGGTGAGTGAGCGTCATCAGGATGATAGAAATGCTTAGATAGGGGATGCAGTGTTTTGGGTTAAGGAAATAGATAAGAACTTTCACTCATGAGGCAGGTTCCCTTAATATTGTTAAACTCTGATACACCAGAAAGGATAACAGAACCAATAAGAAGGATGCCTCTCCTTTTAGTAGTAGGAATTATCCTCAGCACCCGAGTTGGTGACAATCCTTATAATTCTCCAAGTAAGACGACAACCTGGGCTTCCCTGGTGGCGCAGAGGTTAAGAATCTGCCTGCCAATGCAGGGGACACAGGTTCGAGCCCTGGTCCAGGAAGATCCCACGTGCCTCGGAGCAACTAAATCCATGTGCGATGACTACAGAGCCTGTGCTCTAGAGCCCGCGAGCCATAACTACTGAAGCTCACACGCCACAACTACTGAAGCTCGCCTGCCACTACTACTGAAGCCCGCGTGCCTAGAGCCCGTGCTCCGCAACAAGAGAAGCCACCGCAATGAGAAGCCTGCGCACCACAATGAAGAATAGCTCCCTCTCGCCTCAACTAGGGAAAGACTGTGTGCAGCAACGAAGACCCAATGCAGCCAAAAATAATTAAATAAAATAAATAAATTTATTTAAAAAAAAAGACTACAACGTGGTCCCCTTCTTAGCCCCTCCCAGGAGGCCTGTCTCTTTTATGCAGGGGACCCTTTGTTGAGTATTACATAACAATGCACTTGAGGTTGGGGACTACATTTATTCAGATTTGAGTCTCTACACCTATCACAATGTATAGTTCATAGGAGCATTTAATAAATGTTAGTTGAAGGAATAAATAAAACTAAGAAGTTCCTTAATCACTGGATCATTTTCTCAAAGTTTTTATTTTTTAATTTTATCAGTTTACATGTGAAAGCTTCAGTCAGGGTCAAAAAACTAACTCTACAGCTTTGGGTAAACATTTTGTTTGGCTCTCTGGGCTTTAAGTTGCAAGCATCATTTGTGGAATGCATGGGTTTCTGTGATGAAATAAAAGGTTTTTCCTTTAAGATATTTTGGGTCTACGAATTTTCAAAATTTTATTTTACGGTTTCTCCTTTTTTTTTGATTAAAAATAAAGTGTGGGTGTTGGGGGGCTTGCTGGCAAGAAGACAGAACAACAGCAAACAAACAAGCAAATGAAAAAAGCCACTTTGATTAAGCACAGTCAGTGAGCTCCGTGAAGCGTGTTTCAGCCCGACGCCAAATGACGCTCACTAAAATTGCAGCAATTTTTGATGCACGTGCCAATGTTTGTGTTATTTTTACTTTAAAGATGTAACAGATTGCTCCAAAATAAATAATTTAAACCTAATGTTTCAAAAGATTCCAAGCGCCGTGTCTTTCACTTCTGTAACCAACAGAAGCAACCCTTTTAGGGGTTACATAGAGATGTAATACTCCTTTGGGAGGGTTGTTTTCTTGCTTTGTTTTTCGAAGTAGAATATTATTAAGTCACGAAAAACAATGACGTACTGATAGATATTACGACATGGATGAACCTTAAACACATTATGCTAAATGCAAGAAGCCAGACATAAAAGGCCACATATTGTATGATTCCATTTATACAAAATATCCAGAATAGGCAAATTCATGGAGACAGGAAGTAGATGGATGGTTACCTGGGACTGGGAGTAGGAGGGAATGGAGAGTGGCTGCTAATTTGCATGAGGTTTCTTTTGGGGGTGATGAAAATGTTCTAGAATTAGACAGTAGTGATGGTTGCACAACTTTGTAAATACAATAAAAGCACTGAATGTATACTGTTTTTTTGGTACGCGGGCCTCTCACTGTTGTGACCTCTCCCGTTGCGGAGCACAGGCTCCGGAAGCGCAGGCCCAGCGGCCATGGCTCACGGGCCCAGCCGCTCCGCGGCATGTGGGATCCTCCCGGACCGGGGCACGAACCCGCATCCCCTGCATCGGCAGGCGGACTCCCAACCACTGCGCCACCAGGGAAGCCCCTGAATGGCTTTTAAATTCAGAAAATAAAGATGAAAAGTAAAAATACCAGAGCAATAAACTGACAGCCTTGTGTTTTCATTAACGTAGGTCGCCATTGTGAAGTCCATCAGATGATCGGGAACTACATGTGGGACCCCGCCACCAACAAGTCATTTGACATAGGGGTCAACAGAGACAGCCTGATGCCTCTCTGGTGGAATGGATCAGAACCTCTGTGGATCACTCTGACCAAGGCCAAAAGGAAGGTCTACATGTACTACTGGCCAGGTGAGTGTGTTGACATCCACGCCTGTCCAACCTTCCAAATCTCAAAGCACCATTGGAGTCTCTGAGAACAAAGCATGTAGATGTGTTTGAAGACCAAGCCAGGATTTAGAAAATGGGGTCTTTGTTCAAGAAATGTCTTATGGACATGTTTCTTTAAGTTTTGGTTCAAACTCTCTAACATCAGACCAGACATAATGCCATTTCCTAATTCCCTTGGTTCACCAATACTTCTGCAGTATATCATGCGTTTTCGTGGGTAAAATTTTGGATACACTGGAGAGATAAATTATAGGGTGCTTATTTGCTTTACAAAAGAACTTGGAGTACCATTTCTACAGATTTTGAGCTCCCCTACAATACTGAAAAGAGGATTCAAAGCTCTTACAACTTTTTGGTTGTGCATTAAATGAAGTCCCTTTATATTAATATTCCTCCTGTACATCCTAAATCAATGAGAAACTAACGTACTTAACTTACTTCAGTGAGGGAGGTAAGCACTCATGCAGACTGCCCTGGCTGCTGTGAGGGGGCTTCAGGAGACTCTTATCTTGTCAGCCAAACTCTTTTTATTAAGGATGACAGGATTCAGTGACAACAGAATACTCAACTCACCACTGACTTTGCATTGGTAGGATGTGTTCCTAGTCAGTGGGCAATATAACTTTTCCATGCGCATGGCTGTAGACACGTTTTTCCTAACTCTTCCCGGTGCAATACTGATGATTGTCATTGTGGAAGAAGAGATCAGGAGGCCTAGAAGAAATGAAGGGACAAGTGGGGGAAGCATGTGGAGGGATCTTGCTGGCCTGGGCTGGAGACAGCGGCAGCCTGATGGAACTGTGTGAGCGTGGCGGGTTCTGGGGGGCGGGGGAGTGGGGGGAAGGGGGAGTGAGCCCGGGCTGAGTCACAGGTGGCCCACACCAAGGACGTGGGCCTGGAGCGAGAGTTTGGAGGATGCTGGTTGCAGGTGGCCACGTGGAGAGCTGCTCCGGGGGCTCAAGGCTGTGCCAGCTCTTGGAGGAGGGGCGTCAAGCAAGGACGGGTGGAGAGCAGGGAAAGCAGGCCCACAGCTGCGCTGTGCTGAGTGCCCTGAAAGCTGCCGCAGAGCAGAGACTGACATCCACAGGTGAGCCCAGGACGGCCAGGGCAGCTGCGTTCCTTCAAAACCCGGCAGAAGAACAGACAGACAGCCTGGTTCTGCGGGCAGAGGCAGTGTCGGGGGAGTGCTGGAGTTGCTTCAGAAGACGCCTGGGGTTCGGTCCATAGCAGCTACCTGGGCTGACATAAGGAGAAGCTTTCAAGCACGGGAAGGGTTGAAGAGACTCTGCCTTAAGTGGAGGCTCAACTTTTCACGGAGCTGGACGTAAGATTGAGAAAACAAGTCGGTGCATCCGCCAAGCTAATCAGACTTGGTCGAGGAGCCCAGCTCGGGTTCAGCCCCACGCGACGAGATCCAGAGCCGAAAGATGTGGCTGCGCTTTGAGGCCATTCTCAGCAATCATCATCAACAAACACAAGGGCCCGCAGGCCTAGGAGGGGCCGGGAGCAAACACGCACTCTTGGGGACCACCTCGAGCCGAACCTGAGGACCACCAAGACGAACGCTGTCCCGACTCCAGAAGGGCCATCTTCCCCGGGATCCGGTTAGTGTGACTTTCTGTGTCTTGGAACTTGATCTCTTCTTGCTCTGAAGAGCACCTCCCCCGGCACCTCCCCCCAGACCCCCACATGCCTCCTGCACATACACTGTCCTCTGATGGCCTTCTGGGAGCCCCGGATGCCAGTGCTCGTGGAAACCGGGGGAAGGTCTTAAAGGAGACAGTTGCCATGTTTCAGACTTCTCTCAGCTGTATCACAGAGCATCGCTCTTTATCTCATCCTGGAGAGTCCGGCTCCTTACTCATAATGAGCAATTTGAATTCATGTATCACTGAGTAGCTACAAAGTTTCAGTGCTAACGTGAATGTAAAGTATCTTGTCGCTCCTCCAAAATAGCTCCTGAAGGGCGAGGAATGGCCAACCGCTTTCTTTGATTCAGCAGCTCATGTGATGTGACACTTACGGCTTGAGATCAGCTTATGGTGTTTCCTATCAGGAGGGCAGAAGCTAAAACAGATAACCTCCCAGAATTTCCTCAGTGATCTACATGGATGTTAGCTAACCATCTGGCCGTGTTGAAGTCTTGATAGAAACTGGATGAAAAGTCTCTTGTTTCTTAGACACTGTCCATTCCTTCTAAACTGGATCCACAAATAAAGGCTCCCTGAGAACCAGCTGTCTCTGAAGGCCCTGCCGCCCAGCCCAAGCCAGGCGTGCTCTGGCCCCTCCATTCTTACTGGTTGACAGCTGAGGGATTAACGATCACTGCTGTCCTTTCTCCCTCCACCTTGGTCCTCTCCGGCCACAGCTCATAGCCCAGTGAGTGTTCATTTGTCTCTGCAAGATTTAGTGAAGTGCAGTGGCATTTCTTCTAAACATGACTTGGTTTTATTTTTCTTCTCAAACCCTCCTCTTCCTTCTCCAGTCCCCACCAGACATTGTACAGACCTCTCGATGAGGCCTGGAAAATCTTTATTGCTCCAGTGAGCTGTGTTATGACACTTTGAGTCTTGCCATTAAGTCAATATTTAGAAGTGCAATTTAGAAATGGCAGTAGTTCAAGTCTTCCTGTCAGGTAGATAAAGCAGCAGACTGAAAAATTGATCACTGGTAAAGAGTCCAAAAGACCCCACCTCAAGCCTTGAGAAATTTAATATCGTAAACAGACCCTTTATTACCCCACCCATGGTGCCGTGGAGCTGTGCAGAGGAAAATGTGCCTCAGGGAATGATCCCAGGCCCTAACTCAAATATCTGGGGTGGGGGGAAGGCTCCCCCAAATCAGCCAGGACCAGCGTCACCAGGACCTAGAAGTGCTCTGCAAAGGATGAGAGCTGAGTGTGTGTCATTCACTAATTTTATTCCCCTATTCCATCCCTCTGGTTTGAGGTCAAAGGAGTTTCATTGAAGTGGGGGGAAAGAAGAGGCTCCAATATTCACTTCATATCAAGAGCAACCCAAAGAGAAGGATGCCTTGCGGGAGGAGGTGAAGTGGGGGAATATAGGAGGATACGTACTGATAAGATATTGCATGGAAGTAGAGTTTGAACTCCTTGGACAGTCGATGCTCCCTTACATAGTGGCAGCGGTTTTTAAGTTTATTCTTATGGCTATCGTGAAATACAAAAAAAGGAACAAAAACCAGCAGCCTTTAGGAGTCTGTAGTTTAAAAACTCCTTGGAGCAAGGGTCTGAAGACTCTCAGCTCTACATCTTGAGTCATGATTTTGCAGTATTAACTCCTTATGGCCAAGCAGTCAGGAGGAATTGGGGGCAACCATTCATATGGCTCCGGGAGGGTGTTGGGTGTGGGTCTGGGGTCTTCTGCTGGCCTCTTCCCATCCTGTTTAGGTGTTGAGACAAATAAGACACCTTTTATGTGGGGAAAGACACATTTCCAGCTGGCTTCTCCTCCCCTACTTCCCAGAGGTGGGCTGGCTGGGGAGTTAACAGATGGGTATCTGACTCAGCTCCAGTCAAGTTTTGGTTGTTAAAATCAAGAGGATTTCCTCTGGATGTGTGAGGAGGCACGTCCTGACTCCGGATCAGGAATTGTGGTTGTTCACAGAATCTTCCCCTTCCCTGCTGTGCTGGGTCCCTGACAACCTTCCATTGGGCTGAACTTAGATGAATGCACTTAGGCTCAGGGGAGGTCCGGAGCCTAGCATCAATCACGCAAGCGTGTGGGTTAACGTTACAGCCAAGGTCTTGGACTCTATCTACATGACTCCAAATACCTGCGTAAAAACTGGATTCTTTTCAGGCAAATATTTAACAATCGGGTACAGGGGGTCCAGATTTTCACTAAATTTTCCAACACTGCCACCAATTTGGCATTAAGCTTTAAGATGTATGTAATCTTAGGACCAGAAGAGGCTTTATTCTGTATGTAGTTTGCTGGTTCCTACACTTGTAAATCAAGACCCCCTTAGGATACTGATAAAAACTATGGATTTTTTTTGTATTAGAAAAACAAGCGCATACATGCTGTACACACAATTTTGTGCTCATGTAACACAAGAGGCTACAACGATGAGGACTGCTAGATGGTCTTTGACACGGAAATGCATACATATGTATAATATCTAGTTGATTTGATTCTTTTCAACGTGAGGGAAGTGTCTTAGAAACTCACTAAAGGATCAATGAAGCCCAAACTCCTCTAGTTAATGTTGTCTGCCAAGAGTAGGCTTGGGTTAAAATTCTCTAAGACTCTCTGGGTCAGATTCACCTTGAGTCCTTTCCTTTGTTTGTTGGTAACTTGGGTAAGGTCTGCCTCATTGCCCTTGTCTGTCCGCGTCAGCAACAAGAAGATTACAAATTCACATGGCAAGTTAGAGGTTGTCTCAGAGAAGTGATCTGTCTTCAGAAGCATCCTGCAGGATTTCTAGGCGTCAACCATTTCTGCTGCAGAGATATTGAGGAGGTGGTGCCTTTCTGGACTGCTGCCTGTGGGGGTGACTCCCCCAGCACTCGAAAGTCTTCTGAGCTGTCCAGCCACGTCCAGTCTCCTTTTGCAGGATGGTGTCTTGGCCAGAAGAGCCCATAGTTTCTCAGCAGCATCCGTTACGGTAACTAGGAAGCCTTAAAGAGAAATCCAGGGACAAACTTCCATTCTTCACAAATCATGGCAAATCTGTTTCTTCATAAAACATCTTAAAAGGGTGTGACTCAAGGCCCTGTAATAAGCTCTCAGGAGACAACTGTTAGCAACACCCGATACAGGCTCTCTCCACCCTACCCCCAGCCCCCCAGAGAACTTACCATCCATTCAGTCAAGGAGACACGTGATAATCTAATACTCGCCCATAGAAATGAAAAGGCCACTTGTTTAAAGTATAACAGTGAAAAGCATATTGCATTATGACCTCCTCTAATAGAGGATCTGGTTTCACCCAGAGGG